CACACACTCACTCACTCACACACACACACACACTCACACACTTACGCACACTCACACACTTCAGCGGATCGTCCAGAATCACTCAGGCGCAACTCTGCAAACACACTGACCGGTGTAGTAGCGCCGCAGGTCTGAGAACAGCTGTTGGAAGATGGGAGCGTTCTGCGTGTACAGATGACCGTACGTCTGCGTGAACATCTGATTCATGGATTTCTCTGCCACATCCATCAGCTCCCGGAAAAACTCTGACAGCACAGGGACAGAATCCAGAGAAGAAGATCATTTTCATTCGTTCGCAAAAAACCTCCAGGCCACCGTGGCCTTGACAAGTGAATTTAAAGCATCTGGAAATGCGGATTTGAGACATTAACAGATGAGATATATTTTCACATTACTAAAAACAATAACACATATATTGCATATGTCTAGCAGAGCAGATGTGGGGGGGATGAACTGTTTTTAATGAGTCTATTTAAAAATATTTATGAATTTAAATTAATATATTATGTAAAAATTCATTTGAAATGAATGAAGACTTCAAATACATTTTAACAGTCACTGGTCGCCACTTACTGCAATAATGTAACATATACCATCTTTATTTGAAGTGTAACATTAGTTCCAACAGTCAATGACTCATTGTGATCGCAGCTCTATCCGGACTATAAACTTTTATTCCAATACTTTTGTTATTATTTAATGTTTGCAACACTACTGTGTAGACTGTTTTTCTCCATTTCTGTCACCGAAGGAGTTTTTGTTCCTCTGGCTTGTTTAGTTGGGGACGCTTGACTGATTGCACAGACACTATTGAAGAGAGCTGAACTGGATGATGACATCACAGAATCATCAATGAACTGACTTTAACTGAAAAATGACTCTGTTATTGTTTTCTTGCATTATTGACAAACTATTTTCCTGTTTGATTCTGTAAAGCTGCTTTGACACAACCGGTATTGTATAAAGCGCTATACAAATAAAGGTGACTTGACTTGACTTTGGCACAGCGCCAATAAGATCGCATATGTTTGAATCAAGATCGCGATCTTTTAATGATTAATCCGTGCATACATATGAGCCTATAGCCTATGTATTTTTGTGTCATATTTGTACCACACCTCAAAAGTAACTGGGCCCAGACCCCCCCCACAGTGTCAGAGAGAGTGAAATGCAACTGTCTGAATCAGATGATGCTGTTGTGTCTGTCTCATGGGTGCTGAATAAAGGGCGTTTCATGGGTGTAAAGATGTTTACAGCGCAGTCAGTCGTTCATGCTCTCAATCAGGTCCTCACCATCAAATTTGCGGTGTCTCTGGGTGAAGGTGGTGAGCAGGAACTGGCTGGTGTCCTGGACTGCAGACAGGAAGTCAGCTTCACTCTGGCGCGCGAGCGTGTCCTCCATCAGACTGGAGCAGCAGGTGTAATCACGAGGACACAGACGCAGGTGCTCACCTGCCAATCACAGCACACACACACACACACACACACACACACATGTTTGTCTCTGTGAATTGTGGGGACTTTCCATAGACTTTGATTGTTTTTATACTGACCAAACTATATTTTCTATCCCCTAACCCTAAATCTACCCCTTACAGCAAATCTGTTTACATTGCTAAACTTTCAGATAAACATAATTTATTATTTGTAATATTTTTTGGCCCCACTTTATATTAAGTGGCCTTAACTACTGTGTACTTACATCAAAAAATAAGTACAATGTACTTATTGTGTTCATATTGTATTGCAAAACACTTTTGCTGCTATTAAGGTGGGATAGGGGTAAGGTTAGGGACAGGTTTG